ACGAGCCCCAAAACAATCTGCTTCCCAGCATCTACAGCTGTCATCCTATTGTAGTTAGTTAATCGATTTGTATTTTACGTGTTCTCTTGGGGTCATCATTTGTTCCCAGTTGCAAACTATGAAAACCATGCGTCATGGAGACCATTGAAACTTTTCACTTTACTCTTTTACTCTTGTGCATTATGGAGTACAAGCGACAATAAATCATTGTCATTAATCATCATTAATTCAGTGTCATCCATGTAGATGAGACTGCACTTGCTTCGTTGCATTCTTATTAATTGAGTCATAGTCTGGTGTGCCACATGAAATGGCTTCTGTTCCTGCTCTGATGCAGTTATTTCTGCTGTCTCTCAAGTGTCTATCCTTGGCTCCCTCCTAATGTTTCATCTGCACAATTATTTCCCCAAGCAGTGACGGGATTTGAAAAGGCAGCTTTTGTTTTTGTTGTATACTGAAAACACCTGGCACTATCTCACCCACGTCTTAAATCTTTCTTTGTCTTTAAGCTATCAGACCACTAATATCAAAGAATGAACAGAAATGTCTTCTTTTAAATATAGGGAGACAATTGTGTTTGGTCCCTGCTTATGAGGTTGTTCCCCATCTACCTACTCTTTCCTCACCCTGGTAGCAATGTGAAACAAACTTGGACTGTTCTGAGTGAGAGCTAGGAACACCTATTTCCATCTTCTTCGTATTCCTTTATCCCTGCCTCGGCTAAAACATTTTTGTGCTGTTGTTGCCTTTAGACTTAACTATTCCAATGCATTCCTAACTATCTCCAACATTCTCTAACCTCTAAATTTGAATTCATACAGAACTCAGCTGCCCAAGTTGGGCCTTTTAAGTAGCCTGTCATAGTACACAGCAGCCCCTGTGGTCACATTTGATCTGTGCCCAGTGGTAGTGGGCCTGATGCCATCCTATGTCCAGTCTCACCAGAACAAACTGGATCAGTATAGTCAGTCACCATGCTCTCTACTCCTGATTAATCATGGCCTTTCCAACTGCAGGTTAAGTCTTTCTCTCAGAATTGCTTCCAATAGTTTGCCCACCACTGAGGTTCGACTGACTGGTCTGTAGTTGCCTAATTTGTCTCGTGCTTCCTTTTTAAATAACGATACAACATTGGCTGTCCTCCAGTCTTCTAGCACCTCCCCTGTGACCAGGGAGGAATTCATAATGATTGCCATGCCCCTGCTATTTCCTCCCTTTCCTTACTCAAAAACCTGGGATGCATTTCATCTGGACCAAGAAATTTGTCTATTTTTAAGCTCAACCACTAATTTCTTTAAGAACTTAACAGTCCTCCTCCCTGATTTTTATACCCACATCGTCCCCCTCATTAATGAATACCGAAACGAAGTATTCAGTTAGTATAGTGTCTACTACTTGCTCTACACACAAATTACATTGTGGACCCTAGTATTTCCCTAGTTATCCTTTAATCCTTAATATACTTGTAAAAATAGCTTATGATTTTCTTCTTGTTTGCCTGCCATTATTCTTCCATGCTCCTTTTTTGCTCTTCTAATTTTCCTTTTAAGTTTCTGCTTGTACATTGTGCACTCCTTTAGGGCTTCTGCTGTTTTGATCCTCAGGGTATTTGCCTTTTTCTCTTTATCCAATCCTGTATATATCCCATGATGTCTCGGGTTCACAGGATTTGTTGCTCCCGCTCGGTGTCTTTTTTGGAACACGCTGACCTTGCACTCTCCCAGTTTCCTCTTTGAATGTGCCCCATTGTGCTCACACAGATTTACCTAAAAGTATGTGTTCCCAGAACTGTCTGGTCAAATCATACCTGATCTTATTAAAATCGGCTTTCCCTCAGTTTAGAACTTTTATTTCAGGCCCGTTCTTGTCCTCCTCCATAACAATCTTGACACCAATGGAGTTATCATCACTCTGCAAAATGCTCCCCCACTGATACCTCAGCTACTTACCCAGCTTCATTACCTAAAATTAAGTCCAACACTACGCTCTTGCAGGGTGGTCTACATACTGGCCTAAAAAAGCTCTCCTGGATGCATTTTAAGAATTCTGCTCCCTTTGAACCTTCCTTACTATGACTACCCCAGTTAATGTTGGGGTGATTGTAAATCCCCTACTATCACTATCATAATACTTTTGCAATTCTCTGAACTTTGCCTACAAACCTGCCCTTCTATTTCTCTCAGACTGTTAGGGGACCTACAGTACACTTCCAATAATGTGTTAACTCTGTTTTGGTTTATAGGATCTACCTGTATGGTTTAATTTGAGGAGTCTTCTGAGATTTCACCTCTCATTACTGCTGTAATAGATTAGCTGATCAAAATTGCAATGCTTCCTCTTTTACCTCCTTCGCTGTCTCATCTGATGACCCTGAATCCTGGAAGATTGAACTGTCATTCCTGCTCCCCACCCAACCAAGTCTCAGTGACAACAATGATGTCATAACCCCTTTGGTTTAATTTGTGCCCTCAACTCATCTGCCTTGGCCATCAGACTCCTAACATTAAAATAAATACTTTCCAAGCTTGTCAAAATCACTTGTGCTTTAACTGGACTATTATATCTGCCTTTCTGACTCACTTATGTGTCTCCTAATTTTGGCCGTTCATTTCTAGAAGTTGGGTCTGGGTGGGCTGCTCTTCAGAGAGTTGGTGTGGACTTGATGGGCTGAATGGTCTGCTTTCACACTGTAGGGATTCAATGATTCCATCTTGCTCAGCTGAACCTTCTTTCTGGGTTGCACCCCCCCTTACAAGTTAGTCTAAACCTTCCCAGCAGCACTAGCAAACCTCCCTCAAGGATGCTGGTCCTGTTCTGGTTCAGGTGCTGCAACTCATTTTCCTTGCGTAGATCTCACTGCCCCCAAAAGCGGTCCCAGTGTCTCGCAAATTTGTAGTCCTCCCTCCTGCACCATCTCTCCAGCAACACATTAATTTGAATACACCACATATTTCTTGTACTCACCAGAAGTAATCCACTGATTAGGAACATTTGGGTTCTATCCTTTTATCTTCTTCCTAGCTCCCTACATTATGCTTTCAGGACTTTCTACCTTGTTCACAAAGTGGCTCTGAAATACACTCATCTTAACTGATAAACATTATAAAGAACTAAACCAAGATGGAACTCAATTCTAAAACAAAATGTACATAATTTATTATAGCAGAATGTGATTTCTTGACTCTCTAACATTACAAGTTTAAGAACTGATGTAACATAGAACGTTAGTTTCACTCAATAGGTCATTTTAACTTGTCTGCCAGACTTTTGTTGAAGTTTCAATGTTGTGAAAGAGTGCACCATAAACATATTACAGTAAGAGGCTATTCAGATGATCATGCCTCTGTCAGCTGAATGAAACCATTCTAACCTTGCTTAGCAGCATGTGGTCTGTAGCCTTGCAGGTTACAGCGTTTCGGGCGCAGAGCCAGCTACCTTTTTTAAATAGTTGGAGGCTTCTGCCTCAAACCACCAGAGTGGGCAGTGATTTCCAGGCACCCATCACCCTCTGGTTGAAAACGTTTTTTCTTCATGCCCGTCCTAATCCTCCTCCCAATCGCCGTAGAAGGTATTTGTAAGTTAGGGAGGGCTCAGATTGGTAGAAATTGAAGTCCTAAAACACATGGGGCATGGCGGGAATCCGGCAGCATCCAAGGGAGGAACGAGTCTGCCTGCCACTGTGGATAGAGGGAAAGAGCATGTGATGGTGGGAAAGAAAGTGTGATGGAAATTGGAAGTGCAGGAAAGAGCGAGGCTGCAAGGGAACTAGTGACACTATGCAGCAAGGGCTGGAATAAGCAAACATACTGGGGGTCAGTGAAGAGCACATGCTGGAGTGCAGACACATGGCAGGGAGGAAGAGACAGGCTGAGGGGATGGAAGGGGGCATGAAGGAGCAGGGAGTGGGAGAGAGCTACTGGAAGGTAGATAGAGTATGCATGAGAAAGGGGAGAATGTGTGACGGGGAGGGATATGGGTAAATGGTGAGGTGTAGAGTGAGGGAGAGCATAAACTGATGGGGCAGGGAAACTGATGGGGGGTGGTTGGGAGCATGCAATGCATGTGTGAGAGACAGCACCCAAAGGCTAATGTGAGAGAATACATCCAAGGGGATGGAAGAGAGAGTGCATGCATAAGATGATGTGGGTGAAAGAGATCACCGTCGTAAGGGAGGGGTGAGAGCATATGCATGTGAGGGTGGTAGCAAGTGAGTGATGGGGAATGTGACAGAATGAGAGCATATGAGGGGAAGATGCAGGGAGATCGAATGTGCGCACCAGGTGGAAGAGGCTGCGTGTAAAAGACTTGGGGGAGAGGGAGAAGGTGAGACCATGCGTAGCAGAGAGGGGAATCCCATTGTGCCTTCCACATCCCGGTTAATTTTGCTCAGGGACATTTTGATCATGATACAATGGACAGCTAATGTGGCTGTTGAGTTTTTGACATTTTTGTCAGTATTAAAAATGCAGAAAACTCACCTGGAATCTCCAAGATTGGACCATCCTGAAACAGTGTTGTAAAAATTCTGTAGGCGACTGCAAGGTTTCCTCATCTGTCTGTATTTAATTAAGTATCCACTGGTGAATACTGCGAGGTCCAAAGCTAAAAGTCTCATGATTTGAGGCAGCCAAATTAATCGCTTTTATGTGTCCAATTCTTAAAAGTATTGGCTGAAAATTAATATAAAATTGGAGATGTCACAGGAATCGGGAATTCTGAGTTAGAATAAATACAGGATTGAATTCATTGCTGCTTATCGAGTATTATTTTGTAAATCGTGCTAATTATAATTAGGCACATTTTATCCTGCTTAAGCACTTGGAATAATTGTGCAGAAGCTGGGTTTCCTTGTTCTTGTAACTAAATATCTTTTCCCATTTGAGCTAATGCAATCAGGAATGGTGTTAGTCTGGCCATCTGAGCACACAATAATACTGGATTGGTGAAATCATTGTATTTGTGTTTGATATTATTTTAATTTTTTTCCCCTTTTTCTTTAGTGTGGGAAACCTTTCAAAGAAGATGATGTGATTATACTGAATGGGAGCAAAGAAGAAATTGCAGATCTCCGAAGGAAAATGGAGGAAAGAAAACTCAAAGCCAAATTATTGAAGGTATGATCGCAAAACATAGAGGCTTGTTATGAAGAAACTGGTCCATGGAACCTCTGCCAAGCTCAGGCAAAAATAATCTGGAGCTAAAACTGGTACAACAACAAATGCATTTCTGTAACACCATTCCAGTCCCATTTTGCTCTGGACTGGAGTGGTGCGACTACTGATTAGTGAGATTGGGAAAACAAACAGTGACATCATAGGGAAGTGGTGTGTTGATTTGGTTTGTGATTACAAAAAGTATAATTTTTGGAAAAAGGGCTAATTTAGCAACGGGCATAAGTGATGGTCAGGGCCAATATAATGAAGTAATGTAAGTAAGCAAAGTAGGGTAAGGGAAATAATTTAATACTATTCTTATGTGAGGATAGAGTCATAAATCGGTATAGCATGGAAACAGACCCTTTGGTCCAACTTGTGCCTGCTGACCAGATATCCTAAATTAGTCTGGTACCATTTGCCAGCATTTGGCCCATATCCCTCTAAACCCTTCCTATTCATATATGCATCCTGATGCCTTTTAAATGTTGTAATTGTACTAGCCTCCACCACTTCCAATGGTAGCTCATTCCAAACACACACCACCCTCTGCATGAAAAATTTGCCCCTTCTGTCCCTTTTAAATCTTTCCCCTCATTAAACCTACGCCCTCTAGTTTTGGAACCCCTCCCCTCCAAACCATCCCAGGGAAAAGACCTTATCTATTCACCCTGTTCATGCCCCTCATGATTTTGTAAACCTCCATAAAGTCCCCCTCCACCTCTGATGCTCCAGGGAAAATAGCCCCAGCCTATTCAGCCTCTCCCAATAGCTCAAACACTCCAACAATTAATAACTTTTTAGCCAAAAATAGAGTAATTAAGGTGCTTAAAAGAAATCACAGCAGCAGAGTTCACACCTGTGATATTCTCCTCCTGTGTTATGTGGCAAATCATGGAGGTTTGAGTGGCTGTGTGTGCAGGAAGTGTTTCCACCCCCTTGTGAACCATATTTCAGAGCTGGAGTTGAGTGAATTCACTGGAGCATTCACAATGCTGAATCATAGATAGCATGTTCAGTAAGGGGTCACACTGCAGGTGAAGACTGAACGCGGGAAAGGCATGGAGGACTACCCAGGCAGATAGTGCAGGAATTCCTTGTGGCCGTCCTCCTTTCTAACAGATGTACTGCTTGGATACTGTGGGGTGTGGGGAGAATAACGTGCAGGAGAAAGCAGTAACACCATAGGTGTGTCTGCTGTAGAGGAGGAAAGGACGAAGAATGGCAGGGCTGTAGTGGTAGGGAATTCAATTGTAAGGGGAACAGACAGATGCTTCTGCGGCCACAAAAGAGATTCCCTGGTACCAAAGTCAGGGGTGTCACTGGCTGCAGGGCATTCTGACAGTGTGCATAGACATTATCAGTCAGTTAAGACAAAAGGGAGTTTGGCAAGTTTGGATGGTATTTATTTTAATGCTGAGAGTCTGACAAACAAGGCAGATGAGTTGAGCACACAAATTAAACCATGAGGGGTATGATGTCATTACTGTCCCTGAGTCTTGGCTGAGAGAGGATCAGGTGTAACAGCTCAATAGTCCAGCATACAAGGTTTTGAAATGAGAGAGGGAAGGAGGTAAAAGAGGAGGTGTCGCAATTTTGATCAGGGAATTTATTACAGCAGTTAAGAGGGATGACATCTCAGTCGTATCAAAAGAAGGCATACGTGTAGAATTAGAATTAGCTTTTATTGTCACGTACTCACGAGTACACTGTAAAGTTTACAAGTCACCACTTGCAGCGCTATCTTGGGTACAAAGGTACCTAGGTACAGCTTCTTCAGTACAAATTCTCAGGAAAAATGAGAAAAATACATATAAAGTCCAGCATTACAGACCTTTGCGCCATCTTACGTACAAAAGTACAAAATCATTGGAATAAATTTGAAAAATAAAGAAACAAAAAGGTTAGAATAACAGTCCTCAACTCCGTCTGTGCTGGCACCTAGTCTCCAGACCATGGCAGCCCTTGTTTCCAGACTGCGCCAGCCCTCCACTCCAGACCGCATCAGACTTTACCTTGAAGCTGGGTGTGCCAGCAATCCACGCTGGATTTACCTGGAGGCTGGGAATCTGCGATGGTTTCAGTCAGGGCCCAAGGACAGGAGGTAAGAAGAAAAAAGGGAAAAAACACAAAAGGAAAGAAAAGTATAACAGATGGAGCGGACGAACTCCGGCTGAGGAGCCCTAATCTGGTCAAGCTTAAAAGAACTGAAAAGTCAAAAAGGAGCAGTTACATCACTGGTAGCATTCTATAGGCCCCCGAATAGTCCAAGAGAAATAGAAGAGCAGATTTGTAAGCAAATTTCAGGGAAATGTAAAAATGAAACAATAATGATAGGGAAGTTGAAATTCCGTACTATCATTAACTAGGGTGGTCATAGGATGAAAGGCTTGGAGGAAGCAGAATTCTTAAAATGCATCCAGGAGAGCTTTTCAAGTCTGTTCGTCCTACAGGAGTGGGGATGATCCTGGACTTAATTTTAGCTAATGAAGCCCGGCAAGTGGTTGAAGTATCAGTGGGGAAGCATTTTTCGCACAGTGATGAAGAGTCCATTAGATTCAAATTGTTATGGAAAAGGTCAGGGATGTGCCTGAAATCTAAGTTCTCAACTGGAAGAAGACCGATTTTAACAAGATCAGATATGATTTGGCTAGAGTGGACTGGGAGCAGATCCTTCTGGTAAACCTGTGTCAGCTGTCTAGTATATATGGAATTGAAAGTAGGAGGATTGATCAGTAAGTTTGTGGATGATATGAAAATTGTATATTTGTGCAGTTTGAACTTGGTGTGCATGCCCACCAATCCCTTAAAGTAACAGATCAGCTAGCTGAAGTGTTTAAGGAGGCATATTCTTGTCTTATTAGCCAAAGTATAGAGTTTAAGAGCAGGGAGGTTATGCTGGAAATGCATAAAACATTGGTTAGTCTACAGCTTGGGTCTGCGCAGTTCTAGAATCCACATTATAAGAGAGATGTGATAGCACTGGGAGGGTGCAGAGGAGATTTACCAGGATATTGCCAAGGCTGGAGAGTTTTAGTTATGAAGAGAGATTGGATAGGCTGGGGTAGCTCTCCTTAGAGCAGAGGTGGTTGAGCGGGGAGATGATTGATAGAAGATAGAATAGATAGAATCCCCACAGTGTGGAAACAGGCCATTCGATCCACAAAGTATACACCACCCCTCCAAAGACCATCCCATCCAGACCCATTCCCCAACCCTTTCCCTGTAACCTGGCATTTTCCATGTCTAATCCTACACGTGCCTAAGCTACACATCCCTGGACACTGTGGGCAATTTAGCATGGCCAATCCATCTAACCTGCGCATCTTTGGGAGGAAACTGGATCTCCCGGAGGAAACCCATGTAGACACGGGGGGAATGTGCAAACTCAACACAGACAGTTGCCCGAGGCTGGAATCGAACCCGGGTCCCTGGTGCTGTGAGACAGCAGTGCTAACCACTGAGCCACCGTGCTGCCCAAATGAGATGTGTAAAATTGAGGGGCATAGACAGGAAAGAAACGTTTCCCTTTGGGAGGAGTATCAATGAGTAGGGACATAGATTTAAGGTATGGGGCAGAAGACTTAGAGCAGACGTGAGGTCAACTTTGTTCACCCACAGGGTGGTGGGAATCTGGAACTCTCTGCCTGCGGGTGGGAGAGGCAGATACCCTCACAACATTGAAGATGATCCTCTTTGCTACCTCCCCCCTCCAACGCCCCACCCATCACTTCCCCAATGCCATTTCCTTTTGTTCCTCTCTCTCACTAAACCATGTTCCCCAACGTTCCTGGTTTGTTATTTGTGTCCTCCTTTGTGAACACGGAACCAAAGCATGTATTTAATTTGTCAGCCAGTTCCTTTTTGTCTATCATAAATTCTCCTGTTTCTGGCTGTAAGGGAACTGCATTGTCTTCACCAATTTTTTTCTCTTTAAATACCTATAAAAAGTTTAGTCAGCTTTTATGTTCCCTGCAAGAATTCTCTGAAGTATTCTCTTCCCCTTTCTTAATTGATCCCTTTATCCTCCTTTGCTGCATTTCCACTCCCCAGGTCTGTTGTTTTTTCACATCAATTTGCATACCTCTTCGTTGGATCTAATACTATTGCTAATTTCTTTTGTAAGCCATGTTTTGGCCAAGTTCCCCATTTCACTTTTGAGTCAGAACGGAATTAGCAGTTGTTGCAGTTCACCCATACATTTTTTGAATGTTTGCCACCATCTTCCCTTTAAAGAACATTCCCTGATCTATCATAGCCAACTTGCATCTCACACCATCGTAAATTCCTCCGTACAGACTCTGGATTCTCCTCTCAGAATCAGCTATATCATACTCCATCTTGATGAGGAATTCTATCGTATTATGGTCCCTCATCCCCACAGGTCTTTGCAAAATTAGATTGCCAATTATTCCATTTTTATTACATAGTACCAGTTTAAGGTGGCCCATTATCTAGTTTGGTTTTCAACATATTGGTCCAGAAAACCATTCCATATGTACTGCAGGAATTCAGAGGCCAGAACTAGAGCAGTGAAGTTGTTTTGGATGATTGCAGGTCATGTTACAGCAATAGAGTGTGGATAATTAGAAAACAAGGATGAGAATTCTAAAATTAAAAGGTTGCTTGATCAGGAGTCATTGTAGGCCAACAGACACAGGAGCAATGAGATGCTGGGATTTGCTGTGAGTTAACACATGAGCACAGAGGTTGCAATAATGTTAGATTTGTAGAGGGTCGAATATGGGAGAGTAACCAGGAGTGTTTTATGTGAAAAAGATACAGTGGCAATTTTATTGTCGGTGCATGATTGAACTTTTCTCTGCTACCACTGTGTATGGAATGAAGGTGTAAGGATCTGAAAGGGTTAATGCTAAAAAGTGCATTAAACACTGCCCAAGATGATGACATGGGGACCCAAGTTTGGACTTTGAGCTTCAAAGGAGAATGACAGTGTTAGT